ACCCAGGAATTTCATATATATACAACATAAATTTTTGCAAGCATACACCAAGAGATATACATAATACTATTCATTGCAGCATTTTCGTAAGAACCCCAAACTGGAAACAACCCAAATATCTCTACAACAATAGGGTGACTATCTCTGTATGTTTACTCAATGGAATATTATACAACAATGAAAATAAACGAACTAAGGGTATATGAAAGACCACAGATAAATCTCACAAATTTAATTATGAGTGAAAAATTCCAAACATAAAATAGACACTGTTATGATTTCATTTATGCACATTTCAAAAACAGGCAAATTGAAGGATTTTTTTTCTCTTCTTCTTTTTTGTGAGGAAGATGGACCCCGAGCTGACATCTGTTACCAATCTTCCTCTTTTTTGCTTGAGGAAGATTGCCACTGAGCTAACATCAGTGCCAATCTTCCTCTATTTTGTGTGGGATGCCACCACAGCATGGCTTGACAAGCAATGCTACATCTGCACCCAGTTTCCTAACCCGCAAACCCCAGGCTACAGAAGTGGAGCGTGGGAACTTAACAACTATGCCACCAGGCCAGCCTCTAAACTGGCCATATTAGAAATAAAGACAAAGGTTATTTTGAAGAGAGAAGTATTAATAGGAAAGGCCACAATGAGGCTTCTATGGTGCTAAGTAATGTTCTATTCTTTTAGTCAGGTGGCGGTTAAACAGGTGTGCACTTTTAATAATTCAGTGAGCTATATAATTACAATATGCATACATTTAGGTACAATGTTTTGAAATTAAAAAAAGAAACAACCCTTAAGCCAGATCACTTTATTCTCTGCTCAAACACCTCCCCTGACCCTTTCTTGCAGTGAAAGCCAAAGTCTTTACAATAGCCTACAAGACCCTAAATGATCTGCCCTCACCTGTTTTCTCTCTGCCATCATGTCCTGCTACTTTCCCCATTGCTTACAGTGCTATAGCTACGTAGGCCTCTTTGCTGATTCTCCAGCATTTTATGCTTCCTTCTGCCTCTGGTTCCCATGATTGACTATAATTTTTGCCTGCAACACAACTCCCCCATATATCCATACAGTTTGTTTTCTCACTTCAAGACACTGTTTAAATGTCACCTTCTCTGTGAGGCTTTCCTTACCACTTTATTTAAAATCATAATCTCCCATTCTAACATTCTCTTCTAACTCTCTGCTATTTTTTTATTTTTATTTTCCAATATACTACATAATTATCTCATTTATGTTATTTGTTTTCTTCTCCCTCCGACAGAATGTAGATACTGTGAAGACAGGATTTTTGCAGTTGTTTTCTACAATATCCCTAGGATCTGAAATAGTGATTGGCACACGGTAGGTATTCAATAAATATTTGTGGAATAACTGAATACCAGTTAAATTTCTTGAACTGCCAATTCTTTTTTTCAAGCTTTGTTGAGATATAATTGACATATAACATTGTGTAAGTTTCAGGTGTATAACATGATGATTTGATAAACGTATGTATTGTGAAATGATTACCACAATAAGGATAGTTAATACCTCCGTTAGCTCACATAACTGCTTTTTGTTTTTGGTTGTGTAGACATTTAAGATCTATTTTCTTGGAAACTTTCAAGTATATAATGCAGTATTGTTAACTGTAGTCACCGTGCTGTACATTAGAACGTATTCATATTATAGCTGGGAGTCTGTACCCTTTGACCAACATCTCCCCATTTCCTTCATTCCCCTGTCCCTGGAGATCACCATTCTATTCTCCGTTTCTATAAGTTTGAGCTGCCAATTCTTTTTGCTCTACATAAAATGCAACTCAAGTATCTCTAACAAACTATGCAAGGGCAGATATTTGACGAGCAAGGAATGACTTCTTCTTCTTCAAAATAAATATAAGGAATCCAATGGCAGAGCTTCCTATTGTAGCTATCATGACAATTTGTATTATTACTTAATTATTCCCCAGGAACTTTAAATAATGAATGGTAAGAGAGAAGAAAGAAAAGTTAAAATCAACTTCTACATCTTCACTATTCTTTAGGGAATACTAAGACTTGATGTTTGATTATAAGTAAGTAAACATCCAAAAATTATCTCCTTTCTTGAACAAATATGATCAAATCATCAAGAGAGAAAGCCCCAAATTCCAAAAGGTCATGATGCTAGGAAATAGCCATATATAATACCTTCCTCTGGCTTTCATTTTAACTGTAAACATGTGCTTTGAAGTTGGTGAAAAGACATGCTGTAGGGTTCATTCTTTGTAATCCATGAGAGATTACAAACTGGATGACTCAGTTTCTTAGAATTTTGTCTCATGCCTTTTGCTCTGTGGAGTAATATTTTATCTCTCCATCTCTGACTTTCTTCTTAGCATTCATCCAAGGACAGAATGGAAACTGCATTACATGTGAGCCACGTGTGCTCCAATTTTTTGCATTAATAATTTAATAAGAACCATGTTTTGTTATTTTTGAGGAAACTGAAAATATTTCATTAGAATTGAATGCTGTCAAAAAAGATAGCCTAAAAATATGAATTTCCTTCTTGTTTCTCTGAGTTCTGGAGGATATTTTTTACTTAGTTCATATATCCCTTTAAAAGAGGGGTAAGAGATATATACCAAGCGGCTTAGGATTTCACATGAAGATGTATATTAATTTTTTTTTTTTGAGGAAGATTGGCCCTAAGCTAACTACTGCCAATCCTCCTCTTTTTGCTGAGGAAGACTGGCTCTGAGCTAACATCCATGCCAATCTTCCTCTGCTTTATACCTGGGACCCCTACTACAGCATGGCTTTTGCCAAGTGGTGCCATGTCCGCACCTAGCATCTGAACTGGCGAACCCTGGGCCGCCAAGAAGCAGAACTTGCAAACTTAACCACCCAGCCACCGGGACGGCCCCAAGATGTATATTAATTGATAAATTACTGAAGAAGGACGTATTTTGATGATTTTTGTTGCTTGGAGAGTAGAGGAGATATATCAAATCCCCCTTTCCATAGATATCTTCTTTCCCAAGCTCATATATCGCCTTTCAATTCCATTAGATTAGTGAGCCTTGGTTTAATGTGGATTATTTCTTTTTGAAGTAACAAAAGTTTTCAGCATGTATGAGTTTTGTTCTTATTTTTGTTGTAGATACAGGATTTACTCTAAACTCCAGCACTGGACAATTACTAACCCTGGGTAATACTCCAAAACAAGCAGGGTAAGTATCAACAATGATTTGAAATGAATCCTTTGTCAGTGACCTTTCTCAAAGTAAAATAAATTAAATGAGATGGCTGAGACTAGTGTTCTGAGTAAATAGGATACTGGAATGTCTAAAAGACAAAAAGATGATCCACTGTAATATAAAAATATATTCAGAACAAGGTATTATGGGACATGATTCCTCGAAAGCCCTGTGTGAATGACTGTATTTTTTCTCTAAAAACATTAACAAACTGTTTTAGACAACCTATAGAACCACGGATTTACCTGGCTTGATTTACTACATCCAGATTCATACAATCCTAGGGCAATGAGAACCTATGAATAGTAGTCTTTCCAATTTAGATGCCATTTAATTCATCAAATGAAAGAGTCAGCCCTTTACATGGTCTGACCTAGGAATCCTAATATTATCTCCCTATACAAAAATATGTCAAGGCAAACTTCCCTGACTCAGAATCTTGGATTCCCACCTTGAAAACACTTCCTGGATTTACTAAATATTCCACATAAAATGCAAAAATATTTCCAGGAGGGAAAAAAAATCAAAATTAGTACAAAAATATATTAAACTTTTACAGTTAACCTCTTGATTATAAACTCTGTGAGTGTAAGATTTTTATATCCACAGCTGTTTCTCGAACACTTAGAAGACCACTTGACACAATAAAGAAGTTTAAGAAATAATTTTGAATTAATTACTTTGTCTAATATAATAGGTCAGAGTAAGGTCCTGAGGAGACAGGAGAATTGAGTTTTGATTCAATAACAACTACTTGAGATGGAAGTAGCCAGAGAGAGAAAGAAGTGAGAAGATCCTTGTTTCAGATTTGCCAAGATAGGAAAGGCCTAGATGGGGCTTAGTGAGATGTAAAAAGATTCCAAAGATCTGTCTAAAAGGAACATGTGGAAAAGGGCTGTGAATGGATACACTCACAAAAATGTAAAACCTATCTATCTTCCCATTTTTCTTGCAGCCAACTTGACCATGGGTACCAAGTAGAGGAGGCGTAGTGAACTTGGCCACAGTCACTCAGACCAGCTGCTGTCCCTTAGATCAGTTCCCATAATGGGTATATCTAGTTCATATATGCACATGGGAGTATAGAAAAGTATTTAGCCAGAGAAAAGTATTTAGAGGCCAAGGTATAGGTCTCTTTCTCACAGTGTATAGGGCATCCATTTGCCCAAAAATGAAAGGAAGCATTTTTCTATACTAAACATTGGTATAGATACATGAAGTAGCATAAAAGGCCATATACCCTGGAATGATAGAGGAATTTTTTATTGTCACTTTAAAACACCATGAGTAAGCTGGAGGACTGAAAGTGAAAATGGACATTAATTTGTGTCCTTAATGGCACTACATTCAGAAAACTTTTAAAAAATATCTTGATTTAGTTTTTTATTATTATATCTGTTATAAATCATAAAGAATCAAGTATTCATAGTACTGTTGAAAGAAGTTTGCGTGCACAGAAATGTAGTATCAGTAGTGCAGGTAAATAGATGAAAGAGTAGACTAGGTAACGTAGAATCACAAAAGTTAGCATTCCTAATATCTAGTCTAGTGTCCTTAGAAAGGTAAAAATTTGTCTCTGATTCATGTTTTCCTTCTTTTCTATTATTCTGACTTTGTAAAATAATATATGTTCAGGGGCTGAGTCTCGAAAGTCACAGTTTGTTGCTTAAGCAAAGTCTGTTTACTACTTTATAAAATAAAACCTTTAAAAATTTGGTGTTTTCATGAAGAACCAGCATATTCCATTAAAGTGCAGTAAACAATGTCATCTCCATGTCTTCCAGACTAATGAATGCATCTGGCAGAGAAACCACCAGCTCCGTCAGCCACTTTATCCTCATGGGCTTTCCCTCGAGCCCAGAAATGCAGCTCCTCTGCTTCGGGCTCTTCTCCGTAGCCTATACCCTGTCCATAATGGGGAATGCAATCATTGTCTGTGCTGTGTGGTGGGACTGGCACCTTCACACTCCCATGTACATCTTCTTGGGGAATTTCTCTCTCCTCGAAATATGTTATGTCACCACGACCATCCCTAACACATTGGTCAACTTCCTGTCCACCAGCAAGTCCATCTCCTTTGTGAGTTGTTTTACACAGTTCTACTTCTTCTTCTCTTTTGGATGTGATGAGTGCTTCTTCCTTTGCATCATGGCCTTTGACAGGTACCTTGCCATCTGCCATCCTCTGCATTACCCACGCACCATGACTAAACAACTGTACACTGGTCTTGTCATCTTTGGGTGGTCATGTGGGTTCATCCTCTTCCTAACCCCGGTTGTTCTCATTTCACAGTTGCCCTATTGTGGCCCAAATATCATCAACCATTTTGTGTGTGACCCTGTCCCATTGATGATGCTGTCCTGTTCTGAAGACACCATCACTCAGATCACTTACTCTACTTTCAATGATGTTTTCATGATTGGCACCTTTCTTTTTATCCTTTGCTCCTATGCTCTGGTGATCCTGGCTGTACTACGGATGCCCTCAGAGGCTAGCAAACAGAAAGCTTTCTCCACTTGTGCTTCTCATCTGTCTGTGGTGATCCTGTTTTTTGGCTCTGTTATGGTGATGTATGTTAGTCCTGGATCAGGACACCCAGTGAAAATGCAAAAATTCATTACCTTGTTTTATTCTGTGATAACACCTCTATGCAATCCTATAATATACAGCCTCAGGAACAAGGAGATGAAGGCTGCTCTGAGGAAAATGTTTGGGACTGAACAAGGTGTTCATAAACATAAATGAGAGCCAAAGCCCGTCTCTCAAATGCAACTTACCCTAATAAGACATGAGTGATATATTTATCTACAAATCCATTGTTTTATTAAGAAACTACTATAAAGAGGACCCATTATCATCTTAAACACCACTCACCAGAAGATGCACTAGTCTTATTTAAGAAGAATATGTTGTAACAAATGAATTCAATTTTGTTTTGAAGTTAATATCGAGTGAGTAAAATTTTATGTACCTGGGCCAACCAGTCCCTCTATATGTAACTCAGTTTCTAACAAGAAGACAGAAGTCAGCTTTGTATTACTCAATCGAAGCAACTAATACAGATGTAATAGTGATCATAGATTGCTTTGAGGATTAACACTATAAGCTAATAATTCTCCACTGGGACATACTGGCTGATAAAGAAGATTCAAATTTGAAGGAAGTCCACCTTGCCAGAGTTTAGCATGTGTCTTTGTTTTAAGGAAACAGACTAGCAGCCTTAGCTGGATATTAGTGATTTTTAAGAGTGCACAGGACAAAGATTAAGAATTTAAAGAGTATTAGTTACCTGCAATATACTAAGTTAAGAGCTAAACATAAAGACCAGGAGATTACTCAGAGCATAACTCACTGTAGGGTAAATCCAACTTACACAACAGGTTCTGATGCCATATATGATTTAGTGTTAGTACTGTGTGACTTATTTTAATACTTCCATAAGCATTCTTAAAACTGTTTCTATAAAATATTTAACATTGTTCCTTTAATTATGAATTTCATTTTGTTCTGTTGCCATTTTTTCAAACATGAATCCCCTAAACATAATTAAAAGAAATTATGATATAAAATATATTTTACCAAATTTTAATTTGTAGCCTTCAAGAAAAGATTTACTCCACAAAGTAATGTGCAGCAGCAATTGGACTTCATCTCCTAAAGAACCTGGGTTGAGAATATTTTCTGAGCTTAGAATGCAGAATTTCTGAGTTCTGGAAAAGAAGTGGCTGTCTTTATTCTACTTCACATAAGAAGCAAATAAATGGCTAACCAATTGCCTGACAACTATTTTATATAGGAAGAAAATATAAAAAATTTAGGGGGCTGGCCCCGTGGCCGAGTGGTTAAGTTCGCGCGCTCCACTGCAGGCGGCCCAGTGTTTCGTTGGTTCGAATCCTGGGCGCGGACATGGCACTGCTCATCAAGCCACGCTGAGGCGGCATCCCACATGCCACAACTAGAAGGACCCACAACGAAGAATATACAACTATGTACTGGGGGGCTTTGGGGAGAAAAAGGAAAAAAATAAAATCTTTAAAAAAACAAAAAAATTTAGAACTTCATCCAAACTAACTTCAATATGAAGTTCAAAGGGCTGATAATGTTAACACTGATTTTCATCTGTACAACTATTCATCTTTCTTAGTTATATAAGAAAAAGGGATAAGAATTAATGATTCCTAATAAAATATTTTGTTGATTGTTTCTGCAGGTTTACAGTGCCTATATTTGTAATTAGCTTTAGGTTAATTATTAGCCAAATTTTTCTCACTCATCTTAAATTCTACCACATATTAAGTTTGTTGCCACTTGATAGACTTGTAAGTTATTTGGAATGTTAAGAAGCATTTCAGATAGCTTTATTGCACCAACCTATCTTCCACAGTTCATACCTGTGACCTCATGTGGGAAGTGAGGTTTCATAAATCAACTGACAAAGGAGGAAAGGAACCTTAGGCTTGTTTCACAGATTGTCTAAATATATACTAGTGCAAGGAAGAAATGTACTACTGCTGCACTACAACTCCTCTCCAGAGTGGCCACAGAGTGTAGTGGGGGAGAAAATCCTCACAAAGCAAAGAGCTGGGAGAAACCTACTTAGTTATCTACTTTCATATGGCGGGAGAAATAGCCTGATCAACAAGATAAGGACATTCACAGACTAATGACTGTTGCAAAAAGTTTTCACTAATTGGTCAGGGGCCCAAAAGGAGCCAGATAAGAAAATCAGAGTCAAAGAAGTTTGAAGAGGTGCTGGCCCAATGGTGTAGTGATTAAGTTTGCACACTCTGCTTCAGCAGCCTAGGGTTCGCGGGTTCAGAACCTGGGTGCAGACCTACACACCGCTCATCAAGCCATGCTGTCACTGCATCCCACATACAAAATAAAGGAAGACTGGCACAGAGGTTAGCTCAGGGACAATCTTCCTCACCAAAAAAATAAAAAGAAGTTTGAAGAGGCAGCATATGGATGGACCTATGAGAGTGAGCACAAAAGTATACAGATCTTTATGTCTCAAATCAATGTGCACTGGAGAGGACCCTCGACAGCAGAGACATCCAACAGCCAGGTAGAAAGAAGGAGTCATCCAGGACATGTCAGGCAGCTCTCCCCTTCACCTCAGTGCTTACACAAAGTGCTCATGAAAAGAGTGGTAGGGATGGAGGTTATGCATGAGACAGAAAATAGGGCACTCTCTTACCAGGGTTGGTGAAGCCACTGAGCCACTGGCGGTGCAGCCTCAATGAGAAGCCAATGCTAAGCCCTCAATATGACTTCTCCCTTTGAGAAAACCACTCAGAAACAAGTAGGAAATTGATCACCTCAAATTCCTTTCATTCTGGAAGGTGCAAAGATTTGCTCTTTCTGTGATTTATTTTTTCCTGAATGTAGGTTTGTCTTCCTTTCTTGCATAGCCTCTGTCTGCACCACTATCTTCATGCTTACAGGATACCTGATTTACTAACATGGAATCCCTGCACAAAATTACCACCCCAAGGAAGTGAAACAAGAGTCATGTGAGCACAGGATTCATTGGTCCTACCATATACATGGAAGCAGTTTACTTGATAGAAGTTGTTAGTACAGTCGAGTGATTCCAACACCTGGTGACCCTGTGCACAGCAGAGCAGAACTCTGCCAGGTCTTTTGCTTCATCCCCTCACCTTTTGGTGTTACTCTGCTCTATAAGACAATTCTCCACTGCTATTCATAGGGTTTTCATGGCCAATTTTATTTGGAAGTGGGTGTTCAGGTCCTTCTTCCCAGGCTGTCTTAGTCTAGAAGCTCTGCTGAAAACTTTCCACCATGGATGACCCTGAAGGTCTTTGAAATACCAGTGGCATAGCTTTCAGCATCACAGCAACATGCAGCTGCCACAGTATGACAACAGACAGGTGAGAGATGTGGTTCCTGGCTACTTGACAGAATATAGGAATGTAACATTAAAGGCTAACCATGGTTCCTCAACCTAGGCATTATTGACATTATGGGCTGAATAATTCTTTATCATGGGGAGCTATTCTACGCAGTGTAGAATTTTTGGCAGCATTCTTGGCCTCCACCTGGCAGATATCAGTAGCAGACCCTACTGCTACTGGCATGACAAGTGTGACAACCAACAACGTCTCCAGACAGTGTCAAATATCCCCTGGTGGGTGGGGGAACAACCCCCATTTAAGAACCACTGGAGTAAGTAAAGATATTGGTTTGAGGCTACACTGCAAGTTTGGGACTCTGTTCTCCAAAAAATTTTACACACATTTAATCAGTGGCCAATAAAAGAGGCTTCACTCCCAGCAGCTAAAATTACGTCAGTCTGAGAACCAAGAAGAGAAAATAAGTTCAACTCATAATTTTCAGTGATTCAGTTGCAGAATTTGTTCTTGCTGCCTCTGCAAATTTAAGTTCTGTCAGATAAATTATGGTTACCAGAATGGGAGTAGGGGAAGCTTCTATGAGGGGCCAAGTAAAGATTCTATTAAACCTGAAACTATGACTGCTTCTGTTTGTAACTCTCTTGTTGGTGGGCCAAGAAAGAAGGGATTCATTATACTGGTCAGTGTAATCTATGACAATTATCCATGGCTGCTCCTACATGTCAGAGATGGGTGGAGTATATTTGGAATTGAGAACATTCACGGGGGCTTCTTTTGGTGCTTTCATGTTCAAGAAAATGCAACACACACAGTCTGAAAAGGGCAAAGCAATCAAGGACTCAGAATCCTTAGAGAGAAAAATCTCAGTGACCCCAGCATGCAAGCAACTTAGAGCATCTAAATTGCTCATCAAAGATGAGGGACATCTACAATGGGTGGTAAAGGAGGGAGATTATGAATATCAGTGATGGCTGTTCATTAGCCATTCTGCATGTAGTCATTTTTATAGATTGCAGGCTATGAGTACCTTGAAGATGCAGAAATAGAGTGGATATAATACAGAGAATAAATAGATTTGAATAGTTCAAGTAGAGGACTATAGCAAAAACATTTGGTATCGTGCATTACATCTATTCATCCCAACTCTATTTTCAGTTACAGCTGCTTGGACAGTTGCAAGCTTGGACTCGTAGTGATAGTGTTAACCTCAAGAGTTCCACACATCTTTTCATTTTCTGACTTAGAGCCTTCTCCAAAGCCTTTGGGGCCTAGTCAGCTAGAGAGCAAATGCAAGAAGAATATAAGGACAGTAATACTCCAGAGACAACTATCAACCTAACTGGCAGAGTGGCCAACGGATAAATGCCTAGCTTTTTAGACATGCTGGTAGAATCAAGCCCTTGATACACCAATTGCCTACATCAGAGACCTTGAATAAACTGACATTAGCTCTTCGTGCTTCTAAGTCTCACTCTCACTGTTCTCTACTCTTCCTTCCTAGGTAACCCCAAATAAGCTATGTACCCAAGTCTTTATCTGAGGTTCTGATTTGGGGAGTTTAAACTAAAACAAATATTAACTGTGATCTTTCCCAATTATACCTTTTATGATCAAAACACACGAATGTGTTTACATGAAGTAAAGGGTTTGTGCACACATCTCTCCATCTCTGTCTCTGTTTCCACTCTGTCTGTCTTCTCCTAATCTGTTTCTACTCCAGGTGTTCGCCTTCTTCTCCATTGTTCTGTCTGTTATTTACTTCTGCTTGCTAATCTTAGTTGTTGTTTGTATCTTCGAATACACAAAGAAACTTAGTTGACAAAGTGTTTGAAGATTTCTAAGTTCTAAAACTTTTTTTCAGGAAAGTTT